GAAGGAAGGTTGGGCAATCCTACTTCCGTAGTGATACTGCCTCGGAAACCCAAGGAGGGGTCACTATGAGTTGGGGTCAACTCCACGGCAAACAACAACAACAACAATAACAACAGCAGGGTGTCCAAGGCTGTAACCTTTTTACAGAAGCAGACTGCCTCTTCTTTTTCCTGGAGCGGCTGGTGGGTTCATATTGCCAGCCTTTTGATTAGCAGCTGAATACTTTATTTATTTTTATATATTTGTTGTGATTTGAGTGAAAGTTTATAGAGCAAATTCAATTTCCATACAGCAGTTCATACACATTTTGTCTTAAAACGTTGACTGCAATTCCCCACAACGTAAGCAGTTGAATACTTTAATTGCTGCATCACCAGAGCTCTTTTACATGTTGAAAGATAGTTTTAATTTTTTGGATGTATTTTGGGTGCCAATGTTGTGAAAGTCTTTTAATTACATTAGCTATTGAACAAAACTTTTGTATTGTGAAATAAATGATCTTGATTTGTATATACTGACAGGAAATTCTTTCCCTTTAAGTGAGTCATCTGTCCCCTTTCAGCTATCATTGTTGACTGATAAGAAAAATAGATATTTTGACCTCTTTTTTAATATTTATAGTACTGTCTATACTATTGTATGTTTACTGTAGCTTATCTAGCTATTGTGCTTTACCACATTTCTACGACTTAAACCTGTTTAAAATCAGTTTTGCTTGTACAGTAGGAAGCTACCAAGGCACTCATCCAATTTCTGATGTTAGCTTATTGATACAAGGGGAAGCTGTATAGAATAGTGGTCAGGAGTACATGCTTAGGAATCAGGCAGGTTTGAGTTTGAATTGTTGGCTTGCTGTGTGCTTCAGATTCACTATCTGTAAAAGGAAGCTAAGATGATAATATCTACCTTCCAGTGTTGTTGTGATGCACATTTATGATTATATATGTAAAATCCTTAGTGCAGGGAATGCCTAGCAAAGAGTTGGTACTCAATAGATAACAGTTAGGATAGCAATTTGTTATCTGGTTTTATGCTCTGTGAAGCTGGTTGAAGCTTTCATATTTGTTTTTTGTGCATCAAAGTTCCTATTACAACATTTAAATAAATTATACATATATATGTGTATTTTTTGCTTTTTTAGGGAGTTCCAATGAATTCACTCAGGTTTCTCTTTGAAGGTCAGAGAATTGCTGATAATCACACTCCAAAAGAAGTGAGTACAATTTCTTTTCTGAATCAAGAAAATTTTAAATTCTCCATTAAATGATTTAGTTCACCAGTGTTAAAACTACCCTCTTCTTGAATATTTTCTGATGTAAGCAGTATCACATTTGACAGAAATAAAAATAATCTTTTGGGTTGAACTTCCCATGTATTGCCTTCAAAAATGCCAATAATAAGAAAAATGAAAAGTGGGATGTGAATACTGGAATTAATGCCATAAGGCACATACTACATCTTTTATAAAAATGGATAAATGCTTCTCAAATTTGGCAGTTTTTGGTACACTTTTGTAGTGATAGTCACCTTTATACTTGGATTTTGATTTTCAGTTCGTTTTGAGTATTTTTTAATAGGGCAGCTTTTTGCATACTAACATAATTGCTTCAGTCATTTTAATTATTTCATTTTTTTTAACTCTGTGTATCTATGTTTCATTGTTTTCCTAAATTGACTCTTAATATATTTTCCCCTATTGAGGCACCTCAAAGTATTTCTATGAAGTGTGTGTGTGCTTATACAGATTTTGCCCTTCCATGTAGAAGTAACATTTCTGATATTTCATTTTTTTTTTTAATAGATTATTGTGGTTTGGGTGAAAGTTTTAAAGAGCAATGTTTTTCTATGCAACAGTTCATCCACATTTTGTTTTGTGACATTGATTGCAATCCCCATAGTGTAACAGCACTTTTCGCATTTCCTCCCTGTGTGTAGCGTTTCCATTTGTCCTTCTTTCATATCGTTCCCTGCCTTCTGAGCTTTATTCCTGGGCAAATGCTGCCTTTTTAGTATCGTATGATTGTTTGTGCCCTGTCTGATATTCCTGATAGTGGTAATGACATAATGTTACTATTTTCATTTTGAGAGTTGTGGGAATAGTGCAGTATTTTCCTGAGTACTTTTTCCCTAGATTCACCAACATTGAACATAGTGCTACATTTGCTTTATCCCTCTCTATGTATTTATATCCACATATTATCATTATTGCTAAATCACTTGAGAGTAAGTTGTAGATATCATGTGACCCTAAGAATTATAATTCAGTTTTCAAATTTAGGAGGTTTTACACTCATACCGTACTGTTCTCTCATATGCAATCTATAGGCAGATTTAGCCATTGCTTTTTGTCCTAGTAGGATCCTTAATAGCCATTTTTTTTTTTTTAACCCAACCTAGGACTCTAATCCAAGATTATGTATTATAAGACTACAGACCAGTTATTTTTTAGAATGGCCTGGAATTAGAATTTGATATTTCATCATGATTAGATTCAATTTTGCTTTTTCAATAGGAGTATTATAAATACTCTTAGATGTGATAGGTGTGACAGAAGTAATAGTTTTGAGAACATCATCTCAGGAAGTACATGATACCAGTTTGAGGTATTTTTATGGGTATTGTTAGCTTTGATAATTTAGTTAATGTGGTAACATTTCTCTACTGTAGTTGTCATTTTCCTCTTGCAGTTAATACATAATCTGTGAGGGATGCTTTGAAATGGTGTTAATATCCTTCATTAGATACTAGCTAATGGGGGCACTTTCTGGTTGGCATCTGTGCTCTTTTTGACATCTCCATCTTTTTTTTAGCTTTTTGTTTTGAGATAATTTTAAACTTACAGAAAAGTTGCAAGAATATTACAAAAATTTCCCACATATTCTTCACCTAGGTTCACCTGTTTTTACAATTTGTGGGCTTTGCTTAATCATTAGTTCTGTGGGTTTTTTTTTTTTCCCCTGAGCTACTACAGAGTGCCTACTTACTCAATATTTCAGTTTTTATTTCTTGAGAACAGGTATAGTCTTTTAATTAACCAAAGCATAGGAAATTCCAATTCCAAGTTACCAATTCAGGAAATCTAACATCGATTAGAATACTTAACTTTGCTGATTATCCCAATTATGTCCTTTATGACAACTTTTCTCCTTCATTACAGGTTCCGGTTCAGGTTCACTTATTTAGTTATTTCTTTAATTATCTTTAATCTGAAACAGCACCTTAGGCTTTCTTTGTCTTTCATGACATTCACATTTTTAATGAATACAAACTAGTTATTTTTCTGGAAAGACCCTCAATCTGGGCTAATCTGTTTCCTTATGACTTGATTCAGGTTGTGCGTTTTTGAATGGAATAGTACACACATGGTGATGTGTCTTTCTTAGGGTATAACATTTGGAGCACATGACTTCTCCTTTCCTCTTATTAATGATTTAATTTTGATTACTTGATTTAAGTGGTATCTTTTTTCTCTACTGTACATGACCTTTTTTTCTGTTGCAATTAAGTAATTTGTGGGAACATAATTTTGAAACTGTATAAATATTCCCTTTTTCATCAAACCCCCCTCCCCCACCTTGGGTTTAACATCCACACTCTTCTTGAGTACTTCCTTATTTTCTCTTAATAAGATACTGCAAACTCACCTTGTACTTTGTCTGTTCTAGCCTTACGTTTAGCCATTTCTCCAAGGAGCCCTGATTGCTTTCAGTGGGGGTAAATTTAGCATGTAGTTTTCTAATGGTTTTAGAAAGCAAGATCTGGAGAGATGTGTATTTTTATTGTTTTTGTAGAATTAGATGCTTTAGAAGCATTTTAAAAACTTTATAAATAGAGTATTGAGATTTCTTTAACAACAGGTAATGAGTAAGAGTATGTATTTGATTATAACCTAAGTCTCTCTTGGTATTTACAGACTGGAAAAATATTTAAGCAAGAAGTAAATTCGTGCCCTGAATGTCGTTTGATTTAAAGCAAACATTTCGTCAGAATTATTGGAGTTTGTGTGGGTCAAGTTTTGACTATCTTGTGCATTAGATATAATGAATGTAATGGAAAAGCAAATATTCTTTTATAACATTGTCAAAAATCCACTGGAATGTAGAAAAAACCAAAAACAGTATTTACAAAAATATGAAAAGCTCTATCTGTACAAAGTTGTGCTTACAACAGTGTTATTTACCATTGAATAGTCATTTGTAATTGAAATTTTTAAAATATCAAAACTTTGGCCTTTCTTCATTTGAAATATTATTGAAGTCAGTATGTAAAGCAGGTGAAGGCAGAAGTTCCCTGACTGAAGTGGGGTTGGTTACTCAGTGTTTCTCAGTGCTTGGAGTCACCTCCAACCTTAGGGTCTCTGAAAGGCACAAGTTGAAAGTCATTCTTAGTTGACTAGTTGCCCAGTACTTAATTTCTGCCAAACTGGTTAAGTGAGAAATATCCTAATTCCCAGACTGTAAGTTATAGGATGTTAACAGATTACTATAGTTACCAGATATTATCAGTCAGTTGGGGTCTTTGCATTTAAATAGATGCTAAAATTGTGGTGCAGTATGCCCTGATAACAGAAGTAGATTTTGTGCTTTTTAAATTTTGGGGCCCTGTGTTCTCGGTTCTTTGATTTGACTTTTGCTTTGGGTATTTTGAACTTGTGTGCCTTGAACTGCTTTTCTTTGCTGAAGTTGATAAATAGTAAGTGACATCCATGATGTGGGACATACCTTTTTTATGTCTCTCCTACAACATTGTCTTTCCTCCTGTCTTATTTCTCATACAAGAGTTGATATTTGAGTAGACATCAGATGCTTAATGCATGTAAGACTCAAATATCCAGAACCAGGCATGTACAGCATGACATAAACTATACCAGTAGCATGATATAAAGGGTAAAACATAGAAAATAAATACAGTCTCAGTATAGCTGCATTGCCTTTTCTTAGAGGCAACCATTATTGTTTCTTTAAGAAAAAAAGTACAGAATATTTCAGTGCATATAAAATATGTTTTTTAAAAGTAATTGCATATACTTAATGTTCTGGAGGGCATTTTAAAGGACCTCTCCTTTTTTCCTGTAAGAATTGAAAAATGATTGGCTGATTGAGCATTGTGGTCTTTTAAGAACTCTTTATAGGATCAAATTGACAACAGCAACTTGAAAGATTAGATAGGATATCTAGAGGGCTTTGGTAGCATATTGCCTAAGGCACTTGACTACTAACCAGAAGGCTGGTGGTTCAAATCCACCAGCCACTCCTCAGAGGGACGGTTGGGCAATCTGCTTCCATAGTGATACTGCCTCAGAAACCCAAGGAGGGGTTGCTATGAGTTGGGTCTGACTCGACGGCACATAATACCACTACCACCTAGAGGGAGCGAGTTTATGTTAATGGAGGAGGAACAGTTTAGAAAAGGAGGCTAAGAATGTACAACTTGAATGTAATCAATATCACCAAATTGTATGTGTAGAAATTGTTGAATTGGTTTATGTTCTGCTGTGTATATTAACAATAACAAAAAGGATTAGCTGAAAAATCTGGCCTGCAAAACTTGGAGGTGTTGGATACATTTAGATACATGGATAACTTTTCTCCATTGGGGGAGTGGTCACTTGATACCAAGGAAAATAATAGTTGTATGCTAGAAGGAATTGTAGATGACAAGACAAACCACATAGAAATGAATCCTTGTTGTTGTTAGGTGCTGTTGAGTCGGCCGTGACTCGTAGCCACCCTATGTGCAACAGAAAGAAACGCTGCCTAGTCCTGTGCCAGCCTCACAATCCTTGCTAAACTTGGACCCATTGTTGCAGCCACTGTGTCAGTCTGTCTTGTTGAGGGCCTTCCCCTTTTTCGTTGACCCTCCACTTAACCAAGCGTGATACTCTTCTCCAGGGAATGGTCCCTTCTGACAACATGACCAAAGTAGGTCAGTCAGATGAAGTCTGGCCATTCTCGTTTCCAAGGAGCATTCCAGCTGCACTTCCTCCAGGACAGATTTGTTAGTTTTTCTGGCAGTCCCTGGTACTTTGAGCATTCTTCGCCAGCACCACAACTCAAAAGCATCAACTCTTCTTCGGTCTTCCCTATTCATTGTCCAGCTCTCATTCTCATCCATACAAGGCGATTGAAAATACCATGGCTTGGATTAGGTGCACCTTAATCTTCAAGGAGACCTCTTCAGCACTTGAAAGAGGTCTTTTTGCAGCAGATTTGCCCAATGCAGTATGTCGTCTGATGTCTTAACTGCTGCTTCCATTGGTGTTGATTGTAGAACCAAGTAATATGAAGTCTTTGACAACTTCAGTCTTTTCTCCATTTATCATGGTGCTGCTTATCGGTCCGGTTGTGAGGATTTTTGTTTTCTTTGATGATTTTTGTTTTGTTGATGTGTAAGCCCTACTGCTTACTATAGTCTTTAATCTTCATCAATAAGTGTTTCAAGTCATCCTCACTTTCAGCAAGCAAGGTTGTGTTGCCTTTGTGTCGCAGGTTGTTAATGAGTCTTCCTCCAATCCTGATGCCATGTTTTTTTTCATATAGCCCAGCTTTTTAACGACCTTTTGCTTTCTTCATGGATGATGTTTTAGGTTCATTTGCTCAGCATACAGATTGAATAAGGATGGTGAAAGGATACAATCCTGATACACTCCCTTCCTGTTTTCAAACAACACAGTATCCCCTAGTTCTGTTTGAACAATAGCCTCCTGGTCTATGAGCACAATTAAGTGTTCTGGAATTCCCATTCTTCTCAATGTTACACATAATTTGCTACAAACCACACAATTGAATGCTTTTGTATAGTCAATAAAACACAAGTAATCATCCTTCTGGTATTTTTTGCTTTTAGCCGAGATCCATCTGACATCATCTATGATATCCCTTGTTCCACATCCTCTTCTGAATCCAGCTTGCATTTCTGGAAATTCTGTGTCAATATACTGCTGTCACGGTTTTTGAATTATCTTCAGGATTTTACTTGCATGTAGTATTAACGATATTGTTCGGTAATTTTTACATTCTGTGGGATCACCTTTCTTTGTTGTTGTTATGCGCTGTTGAGTCAGACCTGACTCACAGTGACCCCTCCTTGGGTTTCTGAGGCGGTATCACTACGGAAGTAGATTGCCCAACCTTCCTTCTGAGGAGTGGCTGGTGGATTTGAACTGCCAGCCTTCTGGCTAGCAGTCAAGTGCCTTAGGCACTATACTACCAGAGCTCTGTAATGGGTGCTAATATGGCTTTCTTCCAGTCAGTTGGCCAGGTAGCTAGCTGTCTTCAAAACTTCTTGGCATAGATGAGTGAGTACCTCCGGCAAGGCATCTGTTTGTTGAAATATCTTGGGTATTCTGTCAATTCCTGGAGCCTTGTTCTTCGCCAATTCCTTCAGTGCACCTTTAACTTCTTCCTTCAGTACCATTGGTTCATGGTCATCTGGCACCTCCTGAAATGGATGAACATCGACCATTTCTTTTTTGTGCAGTGACTCTGTGTATTCCTTCCATCCTCTTTTGATGTTTCCTGTGTCATTCAATATTTTACCCATAGAATCTTTCAGTATTGCAACTTGAGGCTTGAATTTTTTTCTTTAGGTTTTTCAGCTTGAGAAATGTGGAGTGTGTTGTTCCTTTTTGGTTTTCCAACTCCAAGTCAGTGCACATTTCATTATAATAATTGACTTTGTTTTCTTGAGCTGCTCTTTGAAATCTTCTGTTCAGATTTTTTATCTTGTCAGTTGTTCTATTTGCTTCAGCAACTGTCCATTCAAGAGCAACATTCAGTCTCTGCTGACATCCATTTTGGTCTTTTCTTCCTTTCTTATCTTTTTAACAACCTTTTGCTTTCTTCGTGGATGATGTTTTTGATGTCATCCACAATTCCTCTGGTTTTTGGTCATTGGTGTTCAATTCATCAAATTGGTTTTTTAGATTGATCTCTAAATTCAAGAGGGATATAAACAAGGTCATTTTCTGGCTCTTGTGGACTTAATTGTCTTCAGCTTTAACTTGAACTTGCATATGAGCAGTTAGTTGATGGTCTGTTCCACAGTCAGCTCCTGGCCTTGTTTGGCTAAAGATACTGAGTTTCTCCATCACCTCTTTCCATAGATGTAGTCAGTCTGATTTCTTTGTGCACTATCTGGTGAAGTTCATGTGTATAGCAACTGTTTATGTTTTTCAGAAAAAGTATTTGCAACAAGTAAGTTGGTCTTGCAAAATTCTATCATGCTATCTCCAGCATTATTTCTATCACCAAGGCCATATTTTCCAACCACCGGTTATTCTTTGGTTCTACCTTTTGCATTCCAGTCATCAGCGATGATCAGCACATCTTGATTGCATGTTTGGTCAGTTTCAGAGTGCAGAAGTTGGTAAAAATCTTCAATTTCCTTATCTTTGGCTTTGGTGGTTGGTGCTTAAATTTGAGTAATAGGAGTATTCACTGGTCTTCCTTGTAAGCATGTGTGTATTATCCTGTCACTGAAAGCATTGTACTTCAGGATGGATTTTGAAACATTTTTTGTGACAGAGAATGCCGCGCCATACCTGTTCAATTTGTCATTCCTGGCATAGTAGGTCACATGATTGTCTGATTCAAATGGCCAAAACCAGTCCATTTCAGCTCACTAATGCCTAGGATATTATCTATCTTTATGTGTTCCATTTTATTTTTGACAACTTCCAATTTTCCTAGATTCATACTTCGTACATTCCATGTTCTAATTATTAATGGATGTTTGCAGCTCTTTCATTTTGAATTATGCCACATCAGCAAATGGAGGTCTCAGAAATTTTATTCCATCCACATCATTAAGGTTGACTCTACTCTGAGGAGGCAGCTCTTCCCCAGTCGTATTTTGAGTGCCTTCTGACCTGAGGGGCGCATCTTCTGGTACTATATCAGACTGTGTTTCATTGCTGTTCATAAGATTTTCCTGGCCAGTTCTTTGAAAAGTGGATGGCCCCTTCCTTCTTGCAAGTCTGTCTTAATCTGGAAGCTGTGCTGAAACCTATCTACCATGGGTTACCCTGCTGCTATTTGAAATACCAGTTGCATAGTCTGCAGCCTCACAGCAACACAGCACACAACAGGACAGAATGACAAACTGACAGACGAATCCTTAGGCAGTATTTTTCTAACTAAAACCACATATATTTCAAAGTGAAATCATATTTTTTGAAAGAAGCTCTATCAGATAATTACACGTAGAAATAAAATACTTTTTAGAAAATATGCTATCAGACTATTAAAATACGTGTTTAATTAAGTTTAAAACTTCTTTAAGGCACTTAAGGAGTTATGGTGGCATAGTGGATAAGGCATTTGACTGCTAACCAGAAGGTCAGCTGTTCAAACCCCCAGCTGCTCCATGGAAGGAAGACAGGGTGATCTACTTCTGTAAAGATTTACAGCCTTGGAAACCCAATGGGGTCTCTATGAGTCACAAATCACTCAACAGCTGTGAGGTTTTTTTTTTTTTTTTTTTTTTTTTTAATGTACTAGTCAGAAACACTTAAGTTTAATATAGTGAATGAAATGGGAAGTGAAATTGACTCAGGAAATTAAGATGAATTACTTCACAGGCATAAAATTGGAAGGAAGGATATATCTCTATTCTTTAGATTAGAGGAAGCAAGTTCTTAATCATTAAGAGTAGCTGTGAATCACTTTTGTATCTTTTTGCTCTTCCAGAGGGTACTACATTATTGCAGCCAATTTAAAAATAGCACTTTGATCTTCTAGTAACATTTTTTTCTTTCCTCTTACAGCTGGGAATGGAGGAAGAAGATGTGATTGAAGTTTATCAGGAACAAACGGGGGGTCATTCAACAGTTTAGATATTCTTTTAATTTTTTCTTTTCCCTTAATCCTTTCTTATTTTTAAAAATAGTTCTTTTGTAATGTGGTGTTCAAAACGAAATTGAAAACAGGCACCTCTCCTTAAAACATCTGGTATTTTGAATTCTAGTGTTCATTATTCATTATTGTTTGTTTTCATTGTGCTGTTTTGGTGATCGAGCCTCAGCCCCCTTCACATTGCCCTCTTCTTCTAAAAAAAAAAATTACATGTGTGCACAGGGTGGTCACCTTTTCCAGGACTGTGCATTTTCAGTCTGGTGGGATAAATAAGATCGACCAATGCAGGTGTTCACGATGACTTTCCAATTGGCCCCGAAGTTCTATCATGTGATTGCTTCACTCCTGGACTATGACTTTCAGTGGGAGATGGAAGTTTTTCAGAGAACTGAACTGTAGAAAAATGACCTTTCCTTAACTTGAAGCTACTTTTAAAATCTGAGGGTCTGGACCAAAAGAAGAGAAATACCAGGTTGGAGTCATGACGACATATGTTGAGAGTAATGACTAACTCCAATGATGGCTTCACTGAAGAGATAAAGCATTTTGAGATTAAAATAAAATTCTTGCCAGAAGATCCCAGAAAAGTTCTAAATTTCATTAGCAATTAATAAAGTTATTCATGCAGAAGTGTGTACAACAGAACACTGCTCTTTTTGATTTTATTTGTACTTTTTGGCCTGGGATATGGGTTTTAAATGGACATTGTCTGTATCAGCTTCATTAAAATAAACAAAATATTTGTAAAAACCGTACTAACGTTCATTTTATTTTTAATTGTATAGAATGAAAAATAAAATGCCTAAAACAAGGTTTTCTTGCATAATACTGGAAGTTATTGTTACATAGTTATTTGTACATAGTACAAATAAATTTTTTCTTCATTGTACAGTGATAATGTTAACGATTCTGAAGTGCCTTCTGGATCAGGATTTAAATATGGTCACAGTATCTTCTTAAATACTTTGTGTTCTGTTTTTTGAAAAAAACTTGAGAATCCTGTATGGTGCATACATATGATAGTTACTCAAATGTGTTGAATAAATGAGCACGCCAAAAATTCTTAATTGGTTTATATTGATAATTTCAGTTTTCCCTTTAACACTTTACAAAATGTTCTTGGCTTAGTCAAGGTTTGGTGTATTAAACAGTGCTCATATTTTCCTTATATCTTAAATATTTAAACTTTATGTAGAATTAAAACACCAAATTAGTTTGTTCCTATTAGAGGGTTTTACTTTTCTTATTAACTCTCTAGTGAGTACAATTCAGTTTATCATATGCTACACATGATCCAAATTTGTTAGTCCAAATAGAATTTCATCTATCTCTAATGCATTTTACAAACTGTTAACAGCTTACATACCCTACTCAAGTCAGCTGTTGAAAACTAGAGTTCACTTGACCATACAGATTCCTGTGTCTGACCCTAACTGAAAAATTATTTGTATTGTTCGTGTACAAATTGGAGCTTTTAAAGTTAGGTTGTCATCTGGCATTTATCATTATATTAGATAGTAGCTAGAGATTAGGCCTGTTTTAAGAAAATCTTCATGAGTTACATGTTTCTGTTAAAATTGAATAACCTGATTGGCTGTTTGAGCTATCCAGAAGCATGGATATGTAGTTTGGTATCTGTGATAGTTAAGGGTGTGTGCCAACTTAGAGCATGATTCTAAGTGGTTTAAGAAGTTGTAGTCACCTCCATGATGAGAAATGCTGTGAGCAGCCAGTCATTTGAAAGTTTCCTCAGGGGTGTGTCCTGTTTCCAATATACATATGGACATCCTAGGAAAATTCTCAGGCTTACTGTTTGATCTGGATCCTGCATCTAGCTTATCGTTATCTGGCTTTGGGAGCTGAACCGGTGGCCTGCCTTATTGCCTGCCCATCTTGGGATTGTTGCTTATGCAGCTTGTGAGTCAACAATCTGCCATTTTACCTACCGATCTTGGATTCGTCATCTGCTGAAGTCAGCAGCCTGCTATACTTCTTGCCAATCTTGGGTTCATCAGTCCCTGTAGCTGCGTGAGTTATGAAAAGCCTCCAGCTTGATGTTTGACTCACAAACTTGAGACTTGCCAGCCTCTGCAACTGTGTGAACCATTTCCCTGATACAAATTTCTCTCTCTCTCTAAGCTTCATTGTTTTTGCTTTTCTAGAAAACCTAGTCTAAGACATTTGGTACCAGAAGTGATTCTAGAGAAACAAAATTGTAAGGATGAATTTCCTAAATTGGTTCTCAAGTTTGATTAGTCCTAAAGGCACTGATGACTCTACTTCCATCAGTAAAGATGGCACTGCTAATCCATGGCACGGAGTGGCAATATTAATACACAATGTAGCACCACCAATAGATAAGTGATGAGAAGTGAGGCTCTGGGTGACCTCATGTTCGATACTTTTTTCCAATTTTGTCAGTATGAGGAATATAAGGAAGCCAGTTGGTTAGTCCGTCTTACACTAAACAAAGTGGTGAAGGAGCAAGATGAGCTCAGGTTGCTGAGTCTCAGTTCAAGTGCCGCATGAAAGACCTCAATGTTTCCAATTTTACCCTGAAAGAAAGCCTTATTTCTTGTACAGAACAGTTGATACTGCCAAAACCCAACCTCAGTCTTATCGTAAGAGTGGGTGAATTACAATGCCAACTGAATTGCCAACCTAGAATGGCGTCTGAAGTTAAAGTGACAGCATTGATTGGGAAGAAATGGGATCCTGAAACTTGGGATGAGGATACATGAGCAGACAGGAAGATAGATGGGGACAAGGAACCCCTAAATTTTGTTGAATCCTACCTGCCAACAGCACCACCCCTCCCATCTGAAGAGATTACTACATCTTTGCTAAACCATTCTCACCAGTAAAATTACCCCTTTCACTTCCTTTCATGTGATTAACCAAGCTGTGCCTGCTGAGTCATTGAGATACCACTTGGGGTGGCACCTGGGGCACTGCCTAAGGCAGATGCTTTACAAGGCATTGCTGAATGTTCCCAGGAACCACCCTAACCACCCATTAGTGTTTGTAGATCTATAAGTAGATTATCCAAGCGAGTCCCAAAAGGTGAGGTACAAAGTGTGACTGATGAAGTAGTATGCTATACCCAAAAAAAACCCCCAAAAACTGCTTGATTTTGTTAATATGTACAAACAGAAACCTGGAGGAATATGTGTGGGAATGGCTATTAAGAGTGTAGGATAATGGTGCAAGGAACATAATGTTGGGTCAGTCTTGTGTTTATTTATTTGGGCTCACTAAGCACAGATTGTTCAGTATTTGAGCACTAGAGGTTAGCAAAAAATCTAATAGTTTATTTGGTTGGCCTTCTGAAGCATGGATTATGTGGTGGCCCACATTAAGTCAAGTATCAGACCTGCCTTGGTATAATGTAGAAGAAAGAATCCAAAGGCTTAGGGAAATTGGCATGTTAGAATGGATTTATCAGATTAGACCCAGAAACCCAGAAATGGAGTGCCCAGAAGACACACCTTTTACCGCTACTGTGAGCAACAAATTTGTGAAGGGAGACCCAGCATCCTTGAAGATTACTATGATCACCATTTTATGTTAAGTCAGATTTGGCAGTGGGAACTGCCCTGAGTGAATTAAGACACTTAACTACAATGGGGCTGATTGGATCCCGTGGTGGTAGGGGTCACGTGTCAGCAATTAATTGACAAAAGACAAGGTGGGGGTGCTTACTGTAATGGACAGCAGTGTCAAAGCAGTAATCGATTAATCTGACTTGGGGGCTTATGGCTATGGTTACTTAGGTATGGTGTTCCTAGGAGTGAAATAGATGGGAAATCTACTACTTGATCTGTACAAGTGGAAGAATTCTAGGTAAAGTCAACAGTCTAAATTGAATCACCAGAATAGAGTCATGGACCCTCAATCAATTCCCAGACTTGAGCCAGTTGATGGCAGAACCCCCACATTGGCTCCCTGATGTGGAGTAAGGGCTATTATGGTAGGAAAAGCCAAGCAGAAGCCATTAGAACTGCCCTTACCTAGGAAAATAGTAAACCAAAAGCAATACCGCATTCCTGGAAGGATTGCAGAGATTAGTGCCACCATCAAGGACTCAAAGGATGCAGGGGTGGTGATTCCCACCACATCTCCATTTAACTTGCCTATTTGGCCTGTGCAAAAAAATGGATGGGTCTTGGAGAATGACAGTGGATTATTGTAAACTTAATCAGGTGGTAGGAGCTCTGGTAGTGTAGTGCCCAAGGCACTTGACTGCTAACCAGAAGGCTGGCAGTTCAAACCCACCAGCCATTCCTCAGAAGGAAGGTTGGGCAATCCACTTTTGTAGTGATACTGCCTCGGAAACCCAAGGAGGGCTGTCTATGAGTCAGGTCTGACTCGGCAGCACATAACAACAACAACAAAATCAGTTGGTGACTCCAATTGCAGCTCCTGTTCCAGATAAGATTTCATTGCTTGAGCAAATTACTACATCTGGTACCTGGTATGATCTGACCAATGCTTTTTTCTCAATTCCAGTGTCAAAGGATCATCAAAAGCAGTTTGCCTTCAGCTTGCAAAGACAAAATACACTTTCATCATGTTACCTCAGAGGTTTATCAGCTCTCCAGCACTAAGTCATAACTTAGTCTGCAGGGACCTTGATCACCTTTCCCTTCCACAAGATGTCATGCTGGTCCATTACATTGATGACATGTTGATCAAACTAGTAAGGAAGAAGTATCAATGACTCTAGACTTACTGGTGAGACATTTGCATGCTAGAGCATGGGAAATTAACCTGACAAAAATTCAGGTGATTTCTACCTTAGTGCAGTCTCTAGGGGTCCAGCGGTGTGGGGCATGTTGAAATATTCTTACTAAAGTGAAGAATAAGTTACTGTATCTGGCCCCTTCCATAACTAAAAAGGAGGTGAAATCTCTGGTGGGCCTCTTTGGATTTTGGAGGTAGCGTATCTCTCACTTGGGTGTGCTACTTTAGCCTATTAAGTGATTTGAAAAGCTGTAGTTTTGAGGGAGTTGGGAACAACAGAAGGCCCTGCAACTGGTTCAGGCACTTATGAAAGCCACTCTGCCACTTGGGCCATATGATCCAGCTGATCCAATGGTGCTTGGAGTGTGAGTGGCAGATAGAGATGCTGTTTAGAGTTTTTGGCAGGCCTCTATTGGTGTATCACAGCTTAGACCCTTAGGATTTTGGAGTAGAGGACTGACATCCTCTGCAGATAACTCCTCTCCTTTTAAGAGACAACTTTTGGCTTGTTACTGGGCCTTAGTAGAGACTGAATGCTTAACCATGGCTCACCAAGTCACCTTGCGGCTTGAGCTGCACATCACGAACTGGGTGTTGTCTGACCCAGAGAGTCATAAAGTTGGATGTGCACAGCAGCACTCCGTCATTAAATGGAAGTGGTATATAAAAGATTGGGCTTGAGCAGGACCTGAAGGCACAAATAGGTTGCTTGAGGAAGTGGTACAAGTACCTATGGTTTCCACTCCAGTCCCATTACCTTCTCTCTCCTGGTCTGCATTTATGGTCTCATGGGAAGTTCCTCGTGATGAGTTGACTGAGGAGGAGAGAAAACTCATGCCTGGTTTAGTTAGCTCTGCGTGATATACAAGCAGCATTGCAGCCCCTTTCAGGGACCTTCCTGAAGGACAGTGGTGAAGGGAAATCCTCCCAATGGCCAGAACAACAACAACAACAACAATAACAAGCCAGTGGTTTGGCTGGATGGTCAAGGACTTGGAAGGAACATGAT